CTCTCTTTTCTTTACTTTATTCTGACGATTTGTTTTATATACAAACCATGAATCATGTAAACCAAAACAATTATAAAATGCCTCGGAAGCAAAGATTAGGTCAATGATTAGAGTTTAATTTTTTAAAGAAGAAATTTATAAAAATGCATTATTGTAAAATATTGAACCTAAAGTCAATATTTTACCCACTTGTATTTTTTTAAACAACAACAGAACTAGACCCTAAGTATTTTTACCACTAATTAAACCATGATTAGCTTATTTTCAAGTTGCTAGAAGTCTTAACAATTGTTATAGCAAACACATAAAAACATTCATGTATAGTATGAGACCAACATGGACATTGGGAAGTGGTCGGATCCGATTTTGATCCACCTGAATCCTAGTATGGGCAGTAGCCAAGAAGCTCATTGTGTCTTTAATGAATCGTTTTGTAAGTTAACCTATCAGTAAAATTATGTTGTATAGTCTACGTGGTTAAAAACATTAGAAAAGATTAGCACGAATCAGTATAATAATTGTGGTTAAGATGTGATTGAAACATAATTACGTTAATAATAAGTAAAAGTTCAATATAATTTATATAAATACAGAGTTTAAGCAAAAATAGTTTGTCATATTGATTACTTAACATTCATATTCTTTCTAACCTTTTTTATAGGGTAATTCTCAATTTGCATTGAAGTTGCATTCTATTATATGTCGCTTGCTAGAAACAAATTTTGTTATAGTTGAAGGTTTTATATATGAGTATCCCATTACATAACCAAAATTATACTAAACAAGAAATTGATTATTACTTGATGTAAATTATTCTAAAAGATAAATTTTTAAATTATTTTTTAGGTATCCATTACCTCAGTCCTACTAAGCTATAACAAACAAGTTGTAAGGCTTTTTCGATGTAACCCTAAAGAAAGAAAGCAAATATTATATTGTGATGAGGATAGGAGTCGGTGGTTGAATATGAAGATAATAATATTTTTTTCCATTAGACCCACACACACTTTAAGAAAATATTATTATTATTATTTATTATTACTATTATTATTATGGACTATTAACCAAATATATGATACCCTTTCATGATTAGCCTTTCTGGATTAAGAAATCATAAATTAATGATTGATCAACTAACTTATTCATTTATTTATTTATTATTATCATGGTTAGTCAAAATTACATCAAGCGTGATTTTGTTCATTTACTAAGAAAGCATAAGTTAGGAGTAATTAATAAAAAAATAAAATGTGTACGGCTTCTTTTGTTTATTATCACGTGCGTGGTATTTGCTTGTAAAATAATTAGCCTATTTCTATTAGCTTTTAATAAGCATAATTGTATATTGTTCCCTAAAGGTAAGTTTAAGTTGCATTCAAATTCTTTTATTTTCTAGAGTTAACAATTTTATATTTTTTATATGTGTATTCATTTTTCTTATTTATGTTTCATATTTCTTCTTTGTTTTTGTCTACTTTTAGTGATTTGGATTAAAATGGTGGTTAATTACTCCTACTTTCTAGTACCCTTTGTCTACACTTCTTAATTTCTTTCTTTTGGTTTAATATACTTAAATAGAATCTAAACTAGAAATAGAATTATTATGGAAAGATATAAAAGACAAGTTTATATTTTATGAATAAAAAATACAAAATAAAAGAATAAAAAACTATTAGCTTTTATCTTACTTCTCTTTTATCTCATTTCGTCATCATTTAAATAATAGTAATATTGAAGCTTTATTGATGATAAAGGTAGCACCCAAACTCATCGATGATAATAATAATAATAATAATAATAATAATAATAATAATAATAATAAATAATAATAATAATTAATCTTATTATTATTACTATTATGATATATCAATCAATCGAATTAAAATGACCATTATATATGTTTAATTTGTTTGAGGTATATTTCATGGAATTATCTAACGCTCCGCGTGACTAATCAAAATCTGAGATCAAGAGATGAAAGATCCATGTTAATTACGTTGTAGATTAAAATAAAATAAAACAAAATCTAACCTACACATACTCAAAGTCGTTAACAACGTCTTGTCATTTTAATATAAAATCCGTGCTCAATTAGCCGCCTTTATATTCCTTGGCAGCTTTAAATACCATATTCTGTTAGGAAGAAATTAAAAATGGATTTTTTTTTAAATTTGAATTGAATTTTAAATAATAAAAATTTCAATTTTATTTCTAAACTATTTTTTTCATTGTTTTATATTTTTTAATTCTCTTTTATTAAAATTTAAATAATTTCCGAATTTTCATTTTTTAAATATTTGTCTCAAATAGGTATGTTAATTTTTCTTTTCAATTAAATTTTTATTTTTTAAAAATTAAAACAGGTTCTTATTGTTAATATTTTACTAAATCGTTAAAAAAAGGAAAAGAGTATCACGTGTTAGTTTTTGGTCATTTTAATTTTTAAATTTCTTTTAATTATTTTTATTTTTATTTCTTTTTTCATTTATTTAAAAATAAAAATTTGGCAAATATCAAATTCATATTGTGTTATGTGATAATAACACTGTAACATAACATTGACAGTCATGCATTAGTCTCAATTTAGTTTTTTATATTTATCTTGTCTTAATTTAGTTTATTTTTTTAAAAGAATTAAATAATTTTGTCTCTTCCCAAATTTAAATAAATTTAATTTGTATATAAATTTTATATAAATGTTTTTATTAAAATTGATATTTTTATTAAAATATTTTAATAATATTAACTTTATTTATATTTATATTTAATTAATTATATAAATATTAATTATGTCTTTTAAATATATCTTAAAAAATAATAATAACATGTCAAGCTAGTGTGGATTTTTCAAATGAGATCGAGTCACTAAATAAATTATTAACATAAAATTATATTTTTTTTAAAATAAAAAATGAGAGAAAATTTTCAAAGAAACCGTAATTATAGGTCGATTATGTTACTCTTTTTTCTTTTTCATACTCTTCTACATTAATTAGAGTTTTCATGAAATTTTCTCCAATTTTTAATTTTAAAAAATTAAAATTTCATGACATTAATTTGTTCATTAAACCACGTAATTTAAAAATTCACATTAACATGTCATGTCACTGATTTTTTTTCAACTCTTATTAGCATATTTAAATAACATAATTAAGATTTATATAATTGACTAAATATAAATATAATCTAACTAAATTTAAATAAAAATATTTAATAAAAATATCAATTTTAATAAAAATATTATATAACATTTATATACAAATTAAATTTTGTTTTAATTTGGGATGGGACAAATTTGTTAATTTTAAAACAAAAATTAGGACTAAATTGAGACAAAATAAAAATACAAAAATCAAATTAAGACTAATGCAATGATATGTCACATGACAATTACACATGGCACTGTTAGTCTCACATCACACTGTCATTGTCACGTGACACAATGTTAATTTGACACATGACAAATTTGTATTTTAAAAAAATTAACAAGAAATAAAAGATATATTTTTTAACAACAAAGTATAAAACATAATTTTATAAGCACACAAACTTAAGCACTTTGTCTAGTTAGTCATATACAAACATTTTACTTATATACTTCGTTTCATAAACTTTTATTTAAATAGACACAAATGTGGTAGCTTCGTCTTATAAGCTTTTACTTGAAAAGACACAAGTCTTTTGCTTTGTCTAATAAACTTTTCTTTGATTAAATGAATGTTTTATGCAAATGTTATCTTTTTTTTTCTTATAAAATAATATTACATTATCATCTCTACATCAAAATCTCTTGAAAAACATGCCTAAAACAACTCCATACAAATAATTTTTTCTAAATAATTGGAATTCTAGCTTTTGTTTATATATAGTTAGACGTATTAGACTTCTACTTTTCCCAGTTTGGAGAGAAGATAACTACGTAGGCTTGATAAGTTGTGTGTGTATTATAAAATTGAATAACAAAGTTACATGCATTTAATGTTTGTTTAAAGAGTTAACTCATCTACTAGGACATGGACAAACACTAGAATAAAAACCTCACAATATCTCACAATGACCATAAGTCCTAAACTCTTAAAACTTTTTTTATATTTTGTATTTTGGAAACACCTTACAAACTTCCAAAATTGAAAGTTGAAATTACAATTCCAAATAGCATAATCTAAAATTCTTCTAGCTAGTAGTGGGATGCTTCTTCCATATTATGTAATCCAAAATTCAATCCATTATGATTATAGAATCCATAACTACATTACATATGAAATTGCTATTCTAGATTGCTAAATCCAAAAATAACTCAAAAATCAACGTGCCATTGCTCAAATACGTTTAAATAAAAATTTGAAAAACCTATCCAGAAGAGCTAACTAACTTCAATAGCTATTACATATTCACATCCAACAATATTTTTTTGCTAAATCCATTGATCAAAGCATAAACTTGCAAGTAAAGGCACCAATGGAGAACACGAATAAATTTTGTAGATTGAATTAGTTATAAAATAAAAAGGAAAAAAAATAGTCATTCTAAAAAATAGGAGGTGAAGGAGAAAAATATAAGAACACAAGAAGTAAAAGCCTTCCTTGAATTCTTTGAAAGAAAACGAAAAACTTGTCCAAAAATGCTATCTAACTTTAGCACTTATAACACCTTCACCTCCATAATACATTTTGCTAAATCAATATCTAATGTAAGAGCTGACAAGTAAGAATATTAATAGAGGACATCCATACAAATTTTGGAGGTTGAATGGGTTACAGAGCGAAAAGAGCAAAAGACCTTTTATATATATATATATATAAAAGAAGAAGTGCATGCATAAAAATTGCGGTGCAAAAGGTAAAAGCCGTCCAAAGGGTAGGAAATCCGTTTCTATTGAGCGGCAACTAAGGCCCAATTGAACGATCAAAACCAACATAGTTCTAAGAAATATTGAAGAATCTCCACTCGCCACGTATCCGATCAAAACCGCCTCAAAGGGAATCCTATTTATTGTCTTCCTCGTCTGTGTCCCTCTCAAAACCACTCGTTCACAACCAAAGAATAAAGAGAAAATGATGAGAATCGCTGCAAGCGCGAAGAGACTTCTTCCAACGCCGTCGTTGGAGGTGTCACCGGTGGGAGTTAGGGTTCTGCCGCGCCTCTACCACGAGAGGGTGGTGGACCACTACGACAACCCCCGCAATGTTGGATCCTTCGACAAGAACGACCCCACTGTGGGAACTGGTCTTGTCGGGGCACCCGCGTGTGGCGACGTAATGAAACTCCAAATTAAGGTTGACGAGAAAACTGGAAAGATCGTCGATGCTCGCTTCAAAACCTTCGGTTGTGGATCCGCCATTGCTTCTTCCTCCGTCGGTAATTTTATATTTATTTAATTGTTTAATTTATTATCGTGTTAGTTTCAAGCTTATCTTTTGCTGTTAGGGTTTGTGCAATTTTTGGTGTTTTAATTTTCGAATCTTTATTTCATTTTTCCTGGAAATTTGTCGTCAATGGTGTTGAAGAAATTTGTTGTGCATAGTACCTCCTGCCTCCGATGACTGAGGGTGTTTCTGATTTGTAGTTTTGTTATATTTTTGCAGCTACTGAATGGGTGAAGGGAAAGCAAATGGAGGAAGTTCTGTCAATTAAAAACACGTGAGTTGGAGCTCTTGAAAACGTTTGCTACACTTGGTTATTATTTGTTCTGGACATCGCTTGTATGTTATGTGATTTGGTATATTAATTACATTCTTTGGATTCGAGGGTTAGTGCTTGGCTCTTTCAGAAAAGTAACGTAATTGTATCTTAGCCATAAGAATGGTGAAAGTTGACAGTTATAGCAAGTTTAGTGCCTGGAATTGAACAAGTAACATGTGAACTATGTGGAAGAATTTACTTTAGATGGTATTTTTGGAGAAAACACAGCCTAGTTCAACACGAAATTTACATTTTCTTTTATTGTTTTGATGATTAATATTTGATGTTTTCTTGTTTTGCTGTCATATGTATGCATATGTTTGTGTGTGTGTCCTCCTCAGATGACTATGAGCTGATGAATCTAATGACTGATGAAGAATATTTTCATCTTTTGCTATGTTGTTTACATACCTTTTGCTTTATTGATTAGTGCAACACATCTCTAGGACTTCTAGTCCTGCTAGGTGATATTATTCTAGCTTTGGTTATGCTTTTTCATGATTAATTGCTCTCTTCTCCGTTTATTAGTTGTTGAAGAACACATTGCTAATTTTATGCAGTGAAATTGCGAAGCATCTTTCACTTCCACCCGTCAAGCTTCATTGCAGCATGCTTGCAGAGGATGCCATAAAAGCAGCTGTTAAGGATTATGAAGCTAAACGTGCCTCAGCAACTACTGATGAGCAGGGAACAACTTCAGAGAAAACTGCCACTGCTTGACATTCTTGCATTTCTGAATTGTATGATGATGAAAACAGCCATTGCTATGGCTTTTAGACGACAGAGTGAATGGAAATTGTATGAACATCTTGAGGTCAGATATGTTTGGTTGGAGCTAGTTGTAGTATTTGAATTGTCCTAATGTGAAGTAAATACTTGTTTCCCAGGATGTAGTTTGTCATCTGTTTTGAGAAGCTAAATTATATTTTTACTAAAAAATATGTACATGTAATAAAATAAAGCTATGATGTTGTGTTGAACCCACGTAAATATTTTGTTAGTGAAGCTAACACACCATTTTACCCTATTTTGTTTTGGATATGTTTGTCTGACATTCAACTTTATACGTCTTCTGACAATGAGTATAGAAATACCACTGTATAATGTGTAATGCATCCTTCAAGTGAAGGATATTGGAGCTGGGAGAAACAGAGAGTGTGCGAGTGTTGGGTGCTTATGTAAAACAGGGTTAAGAAACCGTTCGTATCATGAACCTTCATAAATATTTTTATGGCATCTCACTCGATCACAAATGAGATATAGACACGGATTAAAAAAGGATTAGTTCTGTAGTAGAGTCCTTAAATCAATTGGCAGCAATTGATTAAAACTATGAATTGTGAATCTGCGATAGAGGATGGGAGTGTAAACCTTTGATAATCTGGATTGTTCAGGGTTGTTTGTCAAATCTCATTGGTTGCGTAATTTAGCAGTGTGCTTTTAGCTTAGGTCTTGTAATCTTTATCTTTAACAGAATGAAGCTTTGTTTTTAAAAAAATTATTTTAGTTGTTTGTCAAACCTCATTAGGTGGTTATTTAGTTTGCCTCTAGTGTTTCCTATTATAATTGATTAGATTTTTCTGGCAAACCTGTCCGAGGGTTTTGTGATCATCTTGTTCACAGAAGCTATTATGACCTTCATGCAGTTAAAATCAGCAGAATAATTAGTGGAGAACATATAAATCTATCAATATTGGTTACGACTTGTTTCTCCGTAAACATTTTTAAAAGAAGAAAATAAGTGATACAATATTTTTTACAAAATTAAAATTAGTTTATGAAGAAGTAAAAAAAAAATTTGGGAAAATATGATAGCTTTTACAAATTTAATTATGTATATGTTGTGAAGTTATGTTGTGATAAATATTCCAGTGATGTGGGTTGTTTTTATCTTTCTTTTCATATCTTTAGTAAACTATATTACGATAAAAAAAATTGATTAAATAATTTAAAATGGATTTATAATTTGGAATAAGAATACTTTTAGGTAATTTAACTTTACGAATAATATTTTAAAAAAAAAGAATCTAAGAAAGATAAAGAATTAAGTTCAAAATAAACAAATAAAACTAATGAGAATATATTAAAAGAAGGCTAACAAAAAAGTGAAAAATGAAAAAATCTTACTTCAACATCTCTTCCATTTGATAACTTTTCTATTTATTTTTTTACATATTTGCATCTTCGTCTTTTAATACTGATGGAATAAACTCTTCCAAACTATACTACTCAAACCAAGGAGAGAAAGGAAAGATTATCAAATGGATGTGGTTTGCGCAAGTTTAATAATTAAAATATGATGTGTATAAGATAGTTTTGATGTAATGAGATGATGACTCTTCCTCTAAATTATATGATTAAGTAAAGGGAAGGGGCTATGATAATGTTTGGGTGCGGTTAAGAGAGGTTGAGCCAAGAGTGACTAGAAAAGATTTAGATGGGGTGTTTTAGTTTTGGTGACCCAAGTTAAGTAGTATGACACAAATTTAATAGCATAACACTACTCAATTCAAAAGTGAATTTACACAAGGGGAGATACTTCTATTTATAAGTTTAGGTAACCGTAAAAGTGTTTTCAAATTCCACAAATAAAACCTTAACACTTTAACTTAGAAACCAAAGTAAAATAATCTTCGTTAAGAGCATGACATATAACCACTACAAAGGAGAAATAATCTCTATTTAGAGCATGACACATGGTCATAACTAAGGAGAAACTCTCTCCATCAAGAACATATGACCACTGTTAAGTGTTAAGACAAAATTGTCTAGAGAGGCTAGACTATCTAACAATTTGAGTTTTGAAGTTTAACATAAAACATTAACAAATTATGGTTTAGTGAAGTAAAGTTTCTAAGCTAAGTACATATTAGAACATCATTATTAAATGCTTGCAAGATAAGCAATGACGTATCAATAACTAAAGGATAAACAATACTTGATAAAAGCACGTCTAATGAAAGAAGCAATAAATGTTGTATAATTTATCAATTGTGGTAATACTTTAAAAAGCATAAACTTACACTAAATGTTCATATTACAAGTCATGCTTCAACGTTCTTTTAACGTAAAGAACATTCAATGCATGAACGTATTATACCTTTTTCTGATTTACTTTTTCTCTCTTTCAAATATGACAATACCAATATTTACTCAAAATGGTTGCACATGGATTAGAAAGACTAGAGCTGTCAAAACGGGTAACCCGACCCGACCCACCACGAGTTGGACACTTAGGCTGTGTTCTTTTGAAGGGATTTTACTGTTTACGGAGATTAACGAGGATGGATTTGCAAAAGTAGGTTTGTTCTCTTCGCATGATTTGCACCGATTTGCAAGGACGGAAGAGCGAGGATTTGCGAATAAACATTGTTGAATTCATCTCGCCAAAACTGTGACGATTTGCGTTGATTTAGGAGACAAAGACTTATATGCCCCTGAGAAATGAAGGAAGGAGCAGTGGTTGAAGAAGTGATGGAAGAAGCCAGGTATTCGGTTCGAAGAAGAGGGTATCCAGTTAAGAGTGTTGTTGAGTCGCACATAATCGGTTACAACGTTGGTGTAACCGGTTACACATTGTAGAAGACGGAGGCGTAAAGCGTATTCAGTTACACATGCCGTAACCGGTTAACTCTGTGTTTGCTTTGAAGTATGCACTGTTCAGAGAGATAGAAAAGTGGTATCTCCCGTTACGATTTTTAAAATTTTTAAAATGACCTCTAATAAGAGAAACACATTTTACCAACTTTCTTATCCTGCAATGCAAACTCGACTTTGCTTTTATTTTATTTTCATTAATATTGGTTTGTTTACAGTAAAAAAAAGAGTACTTACTGTCTTGAACATTTCTTAGGCGATCACACATGCATCATTAGCAAAAAAAAGAATTTTTTTTGAAGCACAGAGAGTACAATCCAATCCAACTAACAACATCATTTTACATATGCTCTTAAAATGAATATTGTAGGCAATGTTTTTACATTATTAGCAGCTGATGCAGTGAGACGTTGCTCAGTTTTTATGTGGAGTAAGAAGATTAAGTAAGAGAGTCTCTGCTTCAAGGAGTTCTGCCCTTAGTCCATTCAAGTATATTGCACCCATCACATCTTCAAACTCTTCTGATCTCTTGAACCCTTCAGCACCAGCTTCGTACAGCCTCTCTATTTCTTCACCTCTTCCTCTCAAAACACCACCAATCTCTTCATATTTTCTCACACCATCACGCTGCTCTTCTCTCTTCTCAACTACCTCTTCCTCTCTTCATATTTACTACATTAATTGCACTACATTAATTTTCTCTTTATAAACATTTTTACAAATAAATATAACATTAAAAAATAACATTTTATATTACTTTTATAACTAGGGACATTTCGGTAATCTTTAATTTCTACCAATTAAATTAATTTTTAAAATCTATCACATCAATCAAATCCTACACTAATTCTCACAAACTTTACTTTCAAATCTACTCTCAATTACCCACAAATCCACTCAAAAAAACAACAAAAAAATTACCCTCAAATCCACTCAAATCCATTCAAATCATCTCCCCAAAATCATCTCCCCCAAATACACCCAAAAGAACACACCCCTAGTGAGTCAACCCAACCCAACTCATTTATTAGCGAGCTGAAAAAATTCGAACCTGACCTGACTCATCATGAGTTGGTGGGTTAAATGGGTTGACTCATTGGCTCATTTAATTAACGTCTTTTTCACCCTCTTCTTCTGAGATTCTTATAACATGTTACTTTGATCTATCAAATTGAAACATTAATAATTGGACCAATTGATATAAAAGAAAATGAAACAAAAGAAATATATTGTTATATATATTCTAATTTATCAAGCATAAAATTTTGCCAATTTAATTTAATGAGACATACACAACCGTTTGACCAAGAAACTAAATATAGCCGTTAACAAAAATATATAGCACAAGATAAAACTGTCATGCTTGTAGATAGGTCTAAAAACAAGATAAAACAAATGATATATTCTTGAATTATCCAATCTATAATATTATCCATCTATTAAATTGGAGTCCTAAATGGATAAATCCACAATATTATGCTCTCTTGAAACATCTTCTTCTTTATCTCCATCTATAATATTATCAAATCTATAATCTTAGGGTTTTATTTGCAAAGGGGAACTTTTGGAAAGACAACAACGCGAAGTAAAGGTTGTGCGTTTTGAATAATTAATTTGATTTCAATAAAAAAATAGGATTTGGATAATTAATTTAATTAAAAAAATAGGTGGATTGATGAGCCAACTCGACCCACCACGGGTTCTACCCGTATGAGCCGGGTTCTTGGTGAGCTGGGTCAAAATTGGCTCGCATCAAAATTTTTGTATTTTTTCGAACCCAACCCGACTCAAACCTGTGGTGAGCCGGATTGGCTCAATGGTTTCAACCCATTTTGACGGCACTAAGAAAGACGTTGTGAAATAGGAAGACATTCCTGGAATATTTCTCTAAAGCTTTATGATTTGCCAAAGTCATACAAGCTCTCATTGCTAAAGCAATGATGTTCTTCCCAAGATACAGAAAAGTACAAAACTTCGTACAAGAAGCCACGTACTCTCAAGAAGATCAATTATTTCTGAGTAACTATCATCTTTCAAAGAAAACTATATAAGGACGCTAAAGAGAAAAGAAGAACTTTTGCTATCACTAAATTATTACGTTGTTATTCTCTCTAAAGCTTACATTGTCTTAGTATATTCTTAGAACAAAAGAAAAATCTTTCAAGTTACCAGATTTCATTGTATTGTATTTATCCTCTATCTGAAAATTATTCAAATTTGTACTTGTAATCAAACATTGGTTGTGTTTATATATTTAGAAGTGAAAAAATACTTGTACTATTTAACTTAGTTGAGTTAAACATTCTAGACAGGTTGTCTAGGGTTCATACCAAGAGTGGTTAAACTCGAACTAGTCAAGTTGACTAGGAGAGTGGTTGATAAT